TCTACAAAATACAAATATTGATTAACTTTACTCATTTACACATTTCATATTATTATTATTATTATTATATTGTTTATAATCGTGCAGGTACAAGTTAAGCGTATGACTTATACATTAATTAAACTAGTTATTCGTAAAGTAAATCAATATTTGTATTTTGTAGAGTAATCTTTCGGTGAAACCACCAAACCTCTCCCCTTTCGTGCACCCCGATAAACAGTTTCTATAATATCAATAAGTTCCTGTTTATCTTCTAATGCCTAAAAAAAGTTAAAAGACGTAAATTAAATAACTTTTTAATTGTGTTATTAAATATATATACGTAAATGATACTAACCCAATTAATTTTATTATTATTACCCGTTCCTAGATCGATCATAATGTGTTTATTTCGAAAGAAAAACATTACAGTACAAGGATCGTAAAGTTCATACATCTATTATAAAGTGAAGAAATTATATAAACGATTAATTCATTTAATAAACGTGTGAATTGATTATTTGATCTTTTAACATACTTTATTAAAATCTGGAACTTCCGTAATATCAACCTAGAAATAAAGCATATTGTCTACTTAAAATTTTACTCATAATAAAGTAAAATAAACAAATATACGAGTCAAAAATACTATTTACCAAATAAATGACGGCAAAATTTTTTACTTTTTCTGCTATACCATATAAAGTTTCGTCCATTTTCATGCATGTTGGATCCTATAAATTGTAATATTTCAGTGTCATTATGAAAGCTATTTAAAAAATGAAAGAGCTTTGAGTGATCTTACCCAATCATGCCCAAATCTAATAACAACTACCCGATCCTCTTCTGATAAGATTGCTTGATCTACCTGCCATCCTATAATCGTTGAGAAAAAGGCATAAGTAAATCGTTCGAGTCACAATAACGTTGAAATAAAATACTGACCATTAGTCAAATGAGGAAGAAAATACGACATTTTATTTAGCTTTTTTTTTCTCGGAGAACTTTATCGATATATTAACAGATACAAGAGATATTGTTTGCAGTATATATATATGGTATTTT